GCGTCCAACCTGTCGACACAATCTGTGCGCACTGATTGCAGAAACTGAGGGCACAGATTAGTAATCGCACGGATTACGTTTGGGTCCATGTCCTCTTCTGGTGTTGATCCACTGTGTTTTCAAGTAATATTCTAATTTTCTGAGATACTGAATTTGGGGTTTTCATTTATTGTCAGTTATAACCATTAAAATTACAATTACAGTATAGCTCAGTAACCAACAAACAAATGGACACAGACATGATTAAAAAAAACTTTGTCACCTTTGGTAGTGGTGATGGGGGAGAGGGTGTTCCAAATTAAACTGTTAGTATTGACTCTAGTGCCCATGGTGAAATATTTTCTGTCTTTGCTCTCCTCAGGTTCCCAGCTCAGCCCACGAGATCCTCTACGTCAAAGAAGAAGAGTATCTGTAGCCTGCAATGACTAAAACTGAATGATGGCTGTGGATCACTGATTCTAGTACTTCCTGCTGTCTGGACAACCCACCTGAGTCGGACTGTAAACCCCCCTGAATCAGACTGTGGAGCAGTGATAAACTCAACCTACTGCACGCAATGTAACAGGAAACACTGCCCCCTGCTGGCCTTAACTGACCATTAGAACAGCTGGTTCTSTCTTTGTTCTGAGTTGATAATTTGAAAGTCAGTCAGTGTTGTGTATGTTGTGTATGTTGCACTGCATACTTGGAAAAGAAACAGTTTTGTAGCTCTCACATGCAATATTGTAGATACAATAGGTTCTTTGTGTTTGCACTTCCTGGTCAGATTTCTGTCCTCATGTCCTGATGTATGATCCATGCTGTAAACTACAGTGAGGGGAGGGGGTTGACCCATTCAWTAAGAAAAGTGGTAGACACTTTGAAGAACTAACTTACAGAGTGGTGCAGAATGTCAGCAACAACATAGAGAAACAACCCAATGAAGCACAGAAGACCAAAGGCAGCATGGACAGACTTTAATCCACCCTGCCTTTACATATCTCGTGTACAGGAAAGTATTTGTTCATCAGTCTTTGCTTTATTCAGCACAACTTCAATTCAGAACAGTAAATTCGATGAAATAGTGATCTGTGATGCAGAGGTGTCAGCAGACCCACAGTCCTGAACCAAGGAGTTCTGTCTGCTTTTGGACACACAAAAATCTGTAGACTCGATGGTTCTATGTCTGCTTCCTATCTTTAGTTGAAGTAAATTGCATCATGTAGACATTTTCTACTGATAGAYCTCACATTGTTTACAGGATGGAGGTCTATGAAACCAGTGCTGCATGAGCATGATGTCATCTTCACTTGACAAAACTGTAGACATCTTRTGTATTTATTCTTGTATAATACGATTTCGAGTATAATACAATACGATCATCATTTTTTGAGCTTAAAAAGCATGAAAAATCTAACTATCAACAACCCATGTATAATACTACCCCCCCCCCCCCCACACACACACACACACACACACACACATTTTATGGATGATTTTTAGMGTTAAATTTCTAGTATTATACATCAATAAATACAGTAGCTTCTTTACCAGGTCACTGGTGTCCATGTCCAGCAGTCCCTGTGTGAGAGGTGGGGGACACCTGGACAGGTCTCTGACTAAGGTTTAGTGATGAACCTAACYTCCTGTTTCTGTGGGAGAAAACCCACTTATGCACAGAGAGAACATTTAAACTCCACCAAATTTGATCAGAAAACCTTCTGACCGATGGACAGCAGCTTCACCAACAGAGCCACCAGACAGAAAAAAAGGTCAAACCAGGTTAATGATTACATTTAAATTAGGTCTAAAATACTGAGGCAGCCATCTTGTAAGGAGCTACATGTGCCACTGTTTCAGAAACAGCTGCATTTCATTGCCGTAAACTCCTGATGCAGAARAAAATACACTGATGAAACAAACAGATGAGTTTATTTCCTGGTTTCTGATGGAACAAGCAGGAAATAATTTGCTTTCAATAAACATGAATGTAAACAGAAGCATAAAACAAAAATAGAAACAAATATTACTCCAGATGTTTTTGTCAAATTAAGATGGCAAAGTTTACAATAAACAAAAAAAATCCCAAGTATAACTGCAGTATTTGAATATTGTATATTACAGTAATATTATCAGTATTCTACATGTCTGAATAAACAACATTGTTTCTCACGACTGAGGAAAATATAAAACCACTGAAAGATTAAAAATATTTAGAATGTTGTATAATTGGTCTTGTTAACACAGATATGTTTTGATTTCTGAAGAATTATTTAACAGCTTACAAATCTTTTCAGTAACTGGTGAACTAATCCGATCTTTAAAGTTCTGCTTCCAATAATTACAACAATAGATGAAAATATTTGACCTCCTTCACTGAGTTTGATGATATTCTGGCAGTAACTTAGCATGTTACATGTTACATGTAGCTCCTCCTGAAATGGCYGCACTAATTCTCCTCTGGTTCAGACAGAATGTTCCGGGCTGCTGATTCAAGTCTTTCTGTAGGTCAGTAAACAAATATGTTACTTCTAATCATACATGTTTCTATATTTAAACATCTCAAAACATAGAAAATGAAACAGATTTCTCTGCATCCTAATTTAGTAATCCTGCTTTAYTGAATGAGTTTAATGACACTTGATATTTGCAATATTTGTGTAAAATGTTCTGAATGACTGTTTGTTTGAGCCCCTCAGCAGAAGAAAACATGAATTATTTCTAAAATGATTTGCTGTGTTTGATCTGATGAGTTGCTGGAAGTCTCTCCTGCTGGTGAAGCGGTGCATTTGTGTTAGTATGATCATATGATGTAATAGTTTAATTCAATTCAGTTCAATTAAATTGAATTGAATTGAATTTAATTGAATTAGGGCGGCACGGTGGCTCAGTTGGTAGAGCTGATGCCTCTCAGCAAGAAGGTCACCGGTTCAAATCCCGGTCGGGAGAACTTTCTGGGTAGAGTTTGCATGTTCTCTCCGTGCATGCATGGGTTCTCTCCGGGTACTCCGGCTTCCTCCCACAGACCAAAAACATGACTGTTAGGTTAATTGATAACTCTAAATTGTCCCTAGGCATGAGTGAGAGAGTGAATAGTTGTTTGTCTCGTTTGCCTCTATGTGGCCCTGTGATGGACTTGCGACCTGTCCAGGGTGTACCCTGCCCCTCGCACTGTGACTACTGGATATGGGCACCAGTGACCCACGCAACCCTGAAAAGGAAGAAGCGTGTACAGAAAATGGATGGATGAATTGAATTGAATTGAATTAATGATTTACTAGCATGGAGGTAGACTGTGTGAAATGACAGATTGTGTTGTTGTTGTTCAGGTTAATATTCCTTCTTTTTGTAAACAGATGCATCCAGGCTGATTTGACTTGTTTGATTCTCACAGCAATACGACCACTGTTGGTTCAATATGTTGTTCAGTAAAACTTCTTCTTTCACTTTTTAAAATGTTAATTTTTTTATAAACACTATCTAACATTGTGCTGAGAGAAGTTTGTGTCAGAGCCTCGTCTCTTTTTGACTCAACTCTGTTGCCCTGAAACAAAGAAAAATGTTTCATTTAAAAAAACATGACACCGTTACTTTAACGTGTTGAATTGAATTAACTACATTTTGTAATTCACCTGTCTTCCACCAGGAGGGAGCAGAGTTCCACACGGTGCTGGTTGTCCTTTAGTTTCATCTATTAGTCTAATAAATTCATTCAGATGGAAATGACTAACTTACCTAAAGTAAAATACTGGAGGTAAAATTTTATTTATTTTTATTTTTTGCATAAATGTTTTGTTTTAAACTTGTGCATATACATTGTACATTAAACAATGTTAATTAGTGAAACCGGAAAGAATCAATTAAGATCGTTTGAACAGAAGAGGGAAACTTCTTCATAGCGTTTAGGAATTTGAACCCACAACKTTTGACTTTCCTGGACTCATTATGTAGGCCATGAGAAACATCATCAGAGTAAACCCTATAACCCCGGTCTGACAGTCTGAGCTWTACTTGAATTCACATAACAATTATTCACACCAAAAAGTAGTTTTATATTATTAAATACTTACTGAAATACTTGGCATGTTTTGTTTTGTTATTGGTGTTGTTCAACTACTATGACTATTAATTTTATTTTATTTAATTGATTAACTCTAATGTGGACAAACAGCATGCACAAACATTYCCAAATCTAAAACCACATATGTTAAAATACATCATGATGAATAAAATAACAAAAAACACCCACAAAAGGACTTAAATAGAGTACAAAATCAGTTAAAACATTTACWATCATTTGCAGAGAATGGCCTTAAAAACATTTTTTTAAAAAAGACCAACTCCTTCATCTTCAAGTCTTTCTGCAGTAGATTCCAGTCTGAGGGAGCAGCAAAGTGAAACGGTACTTTGCTGTAATCAGTGTGAACCTTAAATACAGTTGATAAAGTGAACTCATCCGAGTGCAGAAAATGACCTGGAGGTAAGMGGGAGGTAAACCCAATGTTGCTTTTTAAACTAGATTATGTCAATAAATGAATCTGSGTGGATGAGGCAGAACGTCCAGCCCAGGTAAATAGAGGACAGTGGTGGGTGGTATACTGTAAGTGGGGCAGGGGATGAGCTGCTGCTGAATTCTCAGGAGAAGGTGTGCGTAAATATGGCAGAGTGCTGGTAAGCGCAACGTTTTTTTCTTTCTTCCAGATAGAACTCCGTATTAATAAAAACAATCAAAAAGTAACTTAATTAAAGGTCGTAACATATTAGTAGCTATCATTGTAAACTGAAAGCGGAAACTTTAGTTTGGAGCATTTCGTGGACGAGTGTTTTGATGTCTTTGTAATGGGTAAATCAAAACAAACTTCTGCTACATCCGCATCTACACCGAAGCGTACCCGCTCGGAGTGCTTGACGAACTCCTCGACAACATCTCCGGACAAAAGCCTCACCGCAATCCTGGAGTCTATAGACCTGAGGCTAACTAGTCTGGATGGCAGACTCGCCTGGTCGAGGTCCTCCATAAGGAGTTCCAGAGCCTGAAGCTATCGCTGGAGTTTAGTCAGAAACAGGTAGAGTCGCTTGCTTCTGAAAACCATCAGCTGAAGCAACTCACCGAAGGTATGACGCAGCTGTCCGGAGATAACAAAAAAATCAAGGAATCCATTCTGGATATCCAAGCTCAAAGCATGCGGGACAACCTTGTTTTTTCCGGTATTCCTGAGCAGACGGGGGAAGACYCAGAGGCCTCGGTTCATCATTTCATCCAGCATCAACTGAAGCTATCTAGCAACATAGTGGATAACATCAAGTTCCACCGGGTTCATTGGCTTGGAGGTAAGAAACCCGACAGCAAACACCCTCGGCCAATTATTGACAAATTTGAGCAATATACAGAAAGTGCAGGTTAAAAGTCAAGGCAGGGAGCTGCAAGGAACGAACCTCAGTGTAAACGACCAATTTCCAAACGAAATCTTGGATAGGAGGCGAATATTGTTCCCTATAAGAAAGAAAAACATCAGTGAGGGCAGGAGAGCTACGTTAACTGTAGATAAGCTGTACGTTAATGGTCAGCTGTTCAGAGACCCAGCAATCACTCCATGGCTTTATTAAGTACATCAAGGTTGGAGAAATTTTCAATTATTAATTTTATTTACCAGTTATAATTATATGTAAAAGCACAGCTCGGTTGGTGTGTTACACATCTGGAGGAGTACAGCGTATTGGCACTTTTCTTGGGGAAGGGGGGCTTCTCTTTTGCTTTTCTTTTTCTTTTTATTTGTCCACCACTAAATCACTTTATTCCTTACTTCTTTTTCTCTGTATGTTACAACAATGGTTTGCACGCGGGCACATGGCCCATACACACCCATGCATCAGGTGTACACATACTTCTTAAGGAGACACTATATATTTAAAATTTCAAATATTCAGCACTCACAGATTATGATTTTACCTGGGTCTTTTCATTTATATGTTAATGAGTGCAGTTTAACTTTGCTTTCACAAGTACAAGGATGAGCACATTAAGATTTACCACGTGGATTGTGAACGGGGGCCGGTACCCAGAGGAAAATATATAGAATCTTTAGTCAGCTTAAAAGACTAAAGACTGATGTTGTCTTATTACAAGAGATTTATAAATTAGCTTCAACTGTGAATGATCTTAAATCTTCTGAGTTCCCTAATGTATTCTCAGCCTGCTATAACTCAAGACAAAGGGGGGTAGCAATATTAATACATAAAAATATTAACTTCACAGTGCTAGACACGGTTATAGCCCCAGAGGGTAGATATATTGGTACCACTTTACAATAAGACTCCCTTTATAAATGACTTATAAATGGTTTATAGATAAGTTATTAATTAATCTAAAAACCCTTTATAAATCATTAATAAATGTTTATTATGCATTAATTAAGGACGAGAAAAAAACAGAACTGTTCGGTTT